TAAGGATACTAAGAGCTGGCATCAGCAACAGTCATCCATCCACCCTGTGACGCAGCGGTGTCTGGGTGTCTCTAAAAGTGCTGTGTCCCATTTGCATTAGGGCTTGAACTCCCCCTTCTTTCCTTCCTGTCTGCTCCTTGCCTTTTACCTCGCACAGCCTCTCCAGTACTACTTGCTTCATTTTTGCTCTTTGACCACTATAAATCACAGGAGTGTCACTGACACTGGGAATTGGTTGGGAGCAGTAGACAGTAATGAGCTAAGTATTGCACACGTTTTATTTCTTACCTGCAGTTACGTTGCAGAAACTCTGATTTACTGGCTTCCCAACTGCCAGCAGCTTGAAAAGGTGCCCTGTACATATTCTTTATTAATAGAAGGTTAAAAGTGGTTTGTGTTACCCAGCATAAAAGACATATTAAACCGCTTTGTATTTGGAGATAACTTCAAATGCCAGCTGACTCAGAAATGTTTTGTGAAACTTCCATTCGGTGGAAATCATGCTGTCAGCTAAAGCTTAGGGTGTGCAGGATTTGCTCCTCTTACCTCTGCTTAATGCATCACTGCCAAGGAGAGACTGGATGCCAGCTGACAGGCTGAGGGATGGATGTTGCAGCATTCATTGTTACTTCCATTTTATCGTCTTTATGTCTCTGCTGGGCCAGGGGCAAAGATTGCCTGTTTTTGGCTCTTATATTATGCTGTGTTTCACTCAGCCTTTACAGAAAGAAGTAAGGCAACAGCTCTCCCTCCCTTGAACAATGGCTAACTCTTTGTAAGAGGGTATCACTAACAAGCTAATTCTGAGATACAGCATATTTATATAATATATATTATTTTATATTTTAACATATTTGATAATGTTCTTTTATTAACATATTTGATAACGTGCATTATAAAAGGGGAGATAGACTTAAATATTTTTGCTGCTCATAGTAGTTGCTGACCACAGGAAGATTCTTCTCACACTTTCGATGCCATTATCATCACCCAGGATTTGCAGCTTAAAGGGGACTTTGTGGAAAATCAAATCTCACAAATCTTCACTTTGTGGAAAATCAAATCTCACATTTTTATTTTTTTCAGTAAGAGGGGAAGGAAATTGGTTAAAAAAGAAAGTGAAAAATGTTTCATCAACAATATCCAGGTTTATCTTGCGGGTAGGTGCTAAAACCTAGGAAGTTTGAAGTAAAAACAAAATTTCTGATTTTTTTTTAATGTTTAAAAGCTTTATTTCATCCAAAATAATAAATATATTTGATTTCATTTTGAATATCAACTGTAAACACAGAGTTATTGTCCGGTGACAAAAATATATAGTACCTACTCTTGCTGGTGGCCTTTGCATATAGCAAGGAATGAATAAACATCCTGAGTTTTAACAAAGACATGAACAGGAATGGCTTAATAAGACTATTCTTACTAATAGGCATGTATAATCATTCTTATCATTATTTCAAATGAATGCAAACAAATCACAGATGTCTGAGAAAGTACAAGACATTGGAACAAGCACAAATTAAAATGTATGAAGGACTGCGAAAATACATCGGTACATTTTACAGTGTCGTAGAACTCCAAACTGTTGAAGGAAAAATTTAAGACAAATTACTCAATATGGAAACAAGAATGAAACCGTAATCGCAGTCGTAAATGCATCACATCTATTGGTTTATTGCTAAACTTCATTGTCAAAAGAAATGAGCTTTCTCTATAAGCCCAGTGTCCCTTGAAGCCTTTGAACATGTAATGATGTTAACTAGATTGCTGTGCATCTGTGCTTGAGCTGTTTTAACAGTGAAGAGCTCCCTAGTCATTAACTCTGTTTATACTTTTATTACCTTAATTTTTGACGGGATTATTTTTTTAAGTAAGCTGCTGTGTGAGCCAGCTCTCTCTGTATATCTGGAGAAAAAAAACGTCTTTCTCAGAAAATATGCCCACTTCAGCTATCCACAAGACTTTTTACTCCAAGGGATCTCAAAATACATCATGAGTTTTCGTCCTGATTCAAGCAAGTATCATATCCCAAAATGCACTAGTGCATGGCCATATATTTAAGTGCTTAAGCACTCTGTGTTAAGGGGCCTTGTGAATTAGGACTTAGACACTTATGAACAAAGAGGAGGTAAAATCAAGGGGAAAACCAGCTGTAAAACCATGCTGGAAAGAGACTATTTCTATTGAGTGTTATTTTGAGTGGGTCTTCACTGTAGAGTTAGCCTTCGCTGTTACCTTGGAGTTACTCTTAACACTTCCTTTTTTACAGTAGGAAGCTGTCACCGAGGTTTTTGGGCTTACCAGGGGCAGGAGGCTAAAACGTGGCTGATCCTTCCAGGGTGACTCACTTTACACTGTGGGCACAGACAAAATCACTCTATGCTCATAACCCTCCAAAATGACCATACAGTGTCCTGCAACGTATTCGGGAAATGGGACAGTGTCTTCCGCAGACCCCTGGGCAATAATCACAGCGTGGTTCTGACTACTGCACAAAACCCACATATAGGTAGTGCCACAGATCCCAGCCATGTGTCCGGAGGAGTGCTGCCCCAGCTGAAAACACAGCTCTCGGGTCGCATACTTCAGCGCAGCTCTGTAAGCCTGAAGGAGGAAAACGGCAGTGCCAGTCACATGGATTGACCCTTCAGTGGAGACACAGCTTCTGGGCACAGACATGGAAGCAGGGTTCACGCTATGTAGCCCCTCACCAGCGGGCATAAAAGCTCCTAGGCTATTGTTTTCCACCACGGAGAAGAGCAGCTCCGTGCGCTAGAGGCTCCAGGCCCCTGCGGCCTCGCTCCCCGTGGCTGCGAAAGGGAGTGTGCACCCAAAGACTGGATCAAAACTTTGCTGAAAATAATGGTGCCTGGTATGGCTTTTCTCCAGCCGCACAGCTGTGAGCAGATTGCTCCTGGTAGCAAAGCGGTGCGCTCTCAAACTTCAGAGCAAGGACAGGGAGGACCACATCGCATCTCGCTCTGTGGCCTGTCTGAACAATATGAGGAGCGTAAGAAATAGATAGTATCTGAGTCACTCGTCACAAAAGCATTCTGATGCTCTGATCCCACTGAAATAATCACTATGTGTGAAAACCCTTGCAGACACGAGCTGGGTTTCTTAATATATATTTTAGGAAATTAATTACCTATAATTTTGTTGTCAGTGGCCACATAAGAGGTGCTTCTCACGTGAGATTACATGAGTGAGAGTTAGACGCTCAGATTTCCTCAGCTGATTCCTTCTGATTTAGGTGTCTAATTTTCAGATGTTTAAACTGCGGCAAACGCCTCTGTCCTGCCTGACTGGCACTGTCAGCCCTGGAGGGGAATTCGGCCCCTCTGGGAATCCGCCCTGTGCTTCCGACGGGCAAAGACTTACAAAGCGCAGTTACGATTCGCGCAGTCCCGCAACGTTTCCCAAGCGCGTCCCCGCAGCACAGCTGCGGGCCGTGCACCTGCTGACGCGCTGTGTCTTGCTGCTGTCGCTAATCCCGCCGGGGCGCGAGGACGCC